CCCCATGTCCCTGAGCGGGGCCCGGGGGCCGGAGCCGTCCTGTCCCCGCAGCCGCCGCGTCCCTCTCCGTGCCCCCTTTGGTCATTAAAGGATGGGGGAGCGGCCCCGAGCCTCGTCCCTGCGGCGCCCGCTGGGCTTTGGGGTCCCCAGGGTGGATTTGGGGAGCGGGGACAGTCCCTGGGCAGGGCAGGGGACACCAGGGCAGGGCAGGTCCCGTCCCAGTCGGGAATGGATCATTTTTAACAGCGAATCCTCCCCTGAGCCCGGCACCGCCGGCGGAGCGGGACCGGGGACGTCCTTGGGAGGGAATTCCTGGGGCAAAGGACGGGTTTGGGATAAACAAGGGGGAGGAAGGACCGGGAGGAGCCGGAGGACGCGGGTGAGGAGCTGCGACAGCCCCGGAGCTGCCACCACTGCCACGGGGACACGGGGAGGACACGGAGCCCTGGGGGGCACAAGGGAACATCCCCGACCCTCCCAAAAACACCCGTGGGGATCCAGAGTTTGGCCCTTTCCCCTCCGCCCCCACCCCCAGCGATGTCCCGCGGTGTCACCGGGCCAGGGCCACCTTTCCCACGGGAATTGACACATTTACAGGACTCGATGGCGTTGTTACACCCGCAGGGTCCGCGCGGTTTAAACATTTCCCAGCCCTCCGTGTCCCGCAGAGCCAGGGAGGGCACGACAAGGTCCAGCCCCCCGGAGACCCCCGAGAGCCCCCGGCTCGGGAATGGGGTTTGCACAGAGGAGGGGGCTCGCAGCTCCCGGGACCCCCGGCCGGGCTCAGCTGCAGCTCCGGGGACAGAGGATGAGGCACAGAGAGCCCCGGCTGTGCGCTGCGGGCACAGGGGGACGTTCCCAGCCCTTAAAAAATCAACCCCGAACTTGCCCGTGAGGTCAGCCAGAGCCCAGGGCCCTTGTCCCCGTCTCCTCCCCAGGGACACGGAGCTGATGGGACTCTGCTGCTCCCGGGATGGGTCCTGGAGGGGCCAGGGGAGGACAGAGGGCTGGGAAGGCACGGACTGAGCTGGGAATTGAGGAGGAAAAGCGGCTTCTCCTTGATTTTCTCCATCATTTTAACCCCAAGCCGCAGCACAGGAGCCTCTGCCAGGCTTTGGCACAGAGGGAGAGGAGAAACCTTGACCTGGATGCCAGAAAATAAAGCAAAACGAAATAAACCCCCCCAAAACAACCCCAGGCCCCTCAAGCACACAACCCTTCACCAGAAGATGCCAAAATGTTTTAAACCTCATTTGGCAGGACACTGTGGCCAAGAACCGTGTCACACTGATCCCAATCCACCCCTATCCTGCCAAAAACCCCCCCCAAACCCACGGCAGCAGCAGCCAGCCATGAACAACAGAGAGAAAACCAAACAGAAATACAAAGGGAGTTACAGAGATGTGCAGGAAACAGGAATTGTTGGTTTGAAACCCCTGTGACAGCACTTTCCACCTTTCCCATCCTCACCCTGCCACAGGATCGGGATAAAAGGCGCTGCAGCGTCTCCAGAGCCCAGAAAATCCTCCTTTGGTTGCACTGGATCTGCTCAGCCTCGCTGGGGGATTTTCTGCCCCAGGCTGTTTCCCTGGAGGGGTCCCTCGGTCCCCTCGGGGCTCCAGAAGCTGCTGGAAGGCAAATCCAGGCTCCAGGAAATCCTGCAGGGAGGTGGGGACGGCCCAGCCGCTGCCCCAGGGCTGGGGGACACAACCACGGAGGATTCCAAGGAAAGGGAATGAAATGAAACGCGAGGAGCTGCCTTAGGAGCGGATTTGGCAGAGGCAGGGAGCTCGGAAATGGGGTGGGATCCTCATCCTGTCCCAGAGCCCCCGGGGACACCTCGAACACCCCAGCACGGAGCGATTCCCAGCGGCTCCCACCCACGAAGGGCCCCAGGCTGGAAGGGGCTCCGAGCATCCCGGGCCGTGCAAGGGGTCCCTGGAGGAGCTTGGAGGTCCTTCCACCCCAAACCATTCCCTGACTCCAGGGAAACGCTCGGAGCACCCCGAGACCCCCCCTCGGGAGCTGCCCCACGCAGGAGGTGGATTTTCCTCCACCCAGCGATTCCCCCAGCGAGACACAGCTTGGAAAATGGTGTTTATTGGTATTTATAAATATAAACATCAGGAAGAGTCCATTTGAAGACGGATAATTGACTTAAAAGGACACTGTCAAGAAGTTTGAGCTACCTTAATGCTGTCACCCTGGTCTGCAAACAGAAAATAAATTGCTTTGGGTTCTGTGTTCCGGAGTTTTCCCTGGAAAACTCTGCTCTGTTACAAAGGGATCAGTCAGCCAACAACGCCCTGGCTCCCAAATCCCGCTCTTCGCTCTCCTCTGCCACGGCAGGAACTAAACAAAAGTTGGTTTTGTTTGATTTTTCCCAGAGTTGTGCAAATCCTGTGATTGCCGGGTGACCCGTCCCGTCCGTCACCACCATCTTCTGCCACCCCGAAACCCGGAGAAAGTTCTGGAAATGAAGGCGCCTGAGGAGAGGGGGAGAATCCACAGCGCTAAAGAGGATTTGAATAAATATAAGGGATTAAAAGCCATCTACAGGAGGGCATTGACAGTATCCTTTTAACCCCAGCAGGCCGGAGTCGCTCCGGGCAGAGCGCGAGCGCAGACCGGGGGGCTGTGGGAGATGAGGGGGTGCAGCTCCGGGGGAGAACGGCGCATCCTCCTTGGAATTCCTGGTGGGAAAGCTCCCTCCCAGCCCCTGGAGCAGCCGTTCCTGCTGCTGCAGCTGCTCCTTCCCCAGCAGGAGCATCCTCGGAGCCCGGGGGAAGCGTCGGTGGGCACGGCCAGCGGGAGCGACGGACACGGGCCCGCCCCAGGCTGACCAACCCTGCCCCCTCAAACCCTTGGGATCTGCCCAGCAGTTCCACACCTGCAATTCGGTCAGCCCGGGCTCCCCTGCAGCCATTTCTGCCTGAAACACCCCAAAAACAGCAGGCAGAGACCCCTCTCCCTGGGCCTGGCACGTCCAAAGCCCATCCCGGGGCTCCTTCCACACTTACCTGTGCAGGGTGGGGAGCTCGGGGGGATCCCAGCCCTGCTCCCCCAGGGAATCCTCAATTCTTCACCAGGGCAAGCAAGAACCTCTACTCTGCTTTTCCTCAGGGAAAGGATGGAGGGGAAGGACAGGAGGAGGGAGCTCACAGTGGCTGGAACACGGATTAGAACTTTCTCCCTGTACTGAGAATTATATATTTGTGTATATATTGTTCCCTGTATGGAGAATTGTATCCTTGTCGTTGGGATAAAACCTGGATTTGGGATAAATTTGGACACCCAATCCCTGATCACACAGGTGAGGAAGCCCAGGAGAGCCCAGCCTGGGGTGCAGCTCACCTAAAATCTTCCTGACAGCTCATCACAGGCTCAGGCTTCTCCTGGGAAAAGAATTCCTTATGGATTCTTTGCTTTGGGCTGGAAAATCTCAAGAAATGACTGAATCAGAAATTTGGAAAAAAAAATTTAAAGGGAGAAAAAAAGAAGAAGAAATTAAAAAAAACCAACCAGGATTTGGGGAGGGTAAAATATGTGGCATTAGAAACTCCAAGGGTCTATCACACAATTTGGGAAGAATCTGGGAAGCCTCTGAGCTGGATGTCACATGGGAAAGAAGAGCCTTCCTCATGGGGAAATCCTGGATCCCAGGGATATCCTGGATCCCAGATAAATCCTGGATCCCTGATATATCCTGGATCCCAGATAAACCCTGGATCCCAGGTAGATCCTGGACCCCAGGTAGATCCTGGACCCCAAGTAACTCCTGGATCCCAGATAAACCCTTGATCCCAGATAAATCCTGGATCCCAGATAAATCCTGGATCTCAGGTAAACCCTGGATCCCAGGTAAACCCTGGATCCCAGATAAATCCTGGATCCCAGATAAATCCTGGATCCCAGGTAAACCCTGGATCCCAGGTAAACCCTGGATCCCTGATAAATCCTGGATCCCAGGTAGATCCTGGCTCAGCAGCTGCTGTTTCACTCCCTCCCTGACAAAGGGACACAGACCTTGTTGGGGTTTCCAGGTTTGTTGGGGTTGTTTTTCCCCCCGCACAACTGCGGGGTTAAAGCGTGTTCCTCTCCTCTCCCCACTCCCAAGGACCTCGGCTCCTTTTCCAACCTCACCAGCAGCATCAGTCCCTGCAGGCTGGGCTCCCTCCCCTCCTTCCCACGGGGTTTTCCCCGGGTTATTCCCAGCAGGAATGGTTCAGGATCAGGCCGATCCAGCCGGGGAAACGTGGCGCAGCTCCCGTGGCGGGTGGCTCACCCCGCCGGGCCGGGTGGGATCACAGGGGGGGTGTGGGTGGCTACAGGGCACCCCGGCCCCGCTCGCTGGCCCTGGCAGATGACACTGGGATCGCTGGTGTCTCCCGGGATGGCACGGGCGTGGTTCCAGCCCCGCTGGCCGGGAGCAGCTTCCAGTGTCATAGGATGATGCAGCATCTGCAGAAGCGCTGTCGGCTGCCGCCCACCGAGGGCGGGGGGGTCACCGGGGCGAAGTAGGCGTGGACTTTGATGTTGGGCAGGTGGGTCTGGAAGGGGAAACACAGGGAAAGAGTCAGGGACACGCCCGGAGCTCCTGGGGCACAGCCACGGGTGACAGGGTGACACGCTGGGGGCACCTGGGGACAGGGAATGAGGCTCCTCCCGCCCCAGTCATTGGGGAGTTGTGGGGAACTGGTGGGATCCTCATCCTTGGAAGTGTCCAAGGCCAGGCTGGATGGGGCTTGGAACGAGCTGGGATAGTGGAAGGTCCCTGCCCACAGCAGGGGTGGGACTGGATGGACTTTCCCAACCCAAAACACCCAAAGACCCCATAATTTTATGGTGTAACTTTACAGATCCGTATTCTCTTTGCAGACAAAATGTTGTTTACACCTGGAGAAATGGACTTGGGAGGGGATCCTGGGAAGAAACTCCTGCCTGTGAGGGTGGGCAGGCCCTGGCACAGGGTGCCCAGAGCAGCTGGGGCTGCCCCTGGATCGCTGGCAGTGTCCCAGCCTGGAGCAACCCATGGAAAACATCCAACCCAAACCATTTCAGGGCTCCACGAGTCCAAATCCATCACTGATGGTTCTCACCGCCCTTCTGAGCAGCAGGCCATGATGATGATGGTGATGATGATGGTGATGATGATGATGATGGTGATGATGATGATGATGATGATGATGACGATGGGCACTCAGCTCAGCCCTCCCTATGGACAAACCCCCCGATCCCAGCGCTCCCCTGTCCCTGCTCACCCTGAGTCTCTTGATGCCGGCCCTCGTGATCTGCTGGCAGTCGTACAGTTCTATCCTCTCCAGGCTGTGGCAGCTCTTGAGGTGCTCCAGGGAGGCGTCGGTGATCAGGGGGCAGTTGTCCAGCTCGATCACCTCCAGCCGGTCGTGGGCGCAGGCGCCATTCCCCAGGTGACGGATCCCGTCGTCCGTGATCAGCTCGCAGTGGGATAAACTCTGCCCCCCAAACAGAGGGGTCAAACCCAGCTCCTGACACCCCAAAACCAGCCAGGAGCTCGCTGGGGATGTGAGAGGGTGGTCTGTGTTTGCTGGGTCTGGGCTGGCCCGTGCTGGCTCCTGGCACTGGAGCCACTGGGCTCCATGGGTTTCTGAGGACTGATGTGCTTCCAAAGGGAAAACTTCCAGCTGGAGGGGGAGAATTCCTCCCTGGGAGGGTGGGCAGGCCCTGGAAAAGGGTGCCCAGAGCAGCTGGGGCTGCCCCTTGATCGCTGGCAGTGTCCCAGCCTGGAGCAACCCATGGAAAACATCCAATCCACGAGTCCAAATCCATCACTGATGGTTCTCACCGCCCTTCTGAGCACGAGCAGCAGGCCATGATGACGATGGTGATGATGATGATGATGGTGATGATGATGGTGATGATGATGGTGATGATGATGATGATGATGATGATGACGATGGGCACTCAGCTCAGCCCTCCCTATGGACAAACCCCCCGATCCCAGCGCTCCCCTGTCCCTGCTCACCCTGAGTCTCTTGATGCCGGCCCTCGTGATCTGCTGGCAGTCGTACAGTTCTATCCTCTCCAGGCTGTGGCAGCTCTTGAGGTGCTCCAAGGAGGCGTCGGTGATCAGGGGGCAGTTGTCCAGCTCAATCACCTCCAGCCGGTCGTGGGCGCAGGCGCCATTCCCCAGGTGACGGATCCCGTCGTCCGTGATCAGCTCGCAGTGGGATAAACTCTGCCCCCCAAACAGAGGGGTCAAACCCAGCTCCTGACACCCCAAAACCAGCCAGGAGCTCGCTGGGGATGTGAGAGGGTGGTCTGTGTTTGCTGGGTCTGGGCTGGCCCGTGCTGGCTCCTGGCACTGGAGCCACTGGGCTCCATGGGTTTCTGAGGACTGATGTGCTTCCAAAGGGAAAACTTCCAGCTGGAGGGGGAGAATTCCTCCCTGGGAGGGTGGGCAGGCCCTGGAAAAGGGTGCCCAGAGCAGCTGGGGCTGCCCCTGGATCCCTGGCAGTGTCCCAGCCTGGAGCAACCCATGGAAAACATCCAACCCAAACCATTTCAGGTCTCCACGAGCCCAAATCCATCGCTGATGGATGGACGGGGTGTGGAGCAGCCTGGGACAGCGGGAAGTGTCCCTGCCATGGGAACAGGATCATCCTGAGGGTCCCTGCCACGGCTCCAGGGGAAGGCAGCCCTGGAGGGATGAGACCCCAGGGGGGCACAGAGATCCCAGCACAGCCGAGCTATCCAAGATCCCACCTTTGGGACACCTCTGGCCTCTCCCACCGTGGGAAGAGCCCTGGCTCCGGCTCCCAGAAGCAGCAGGAGCACAACAGCCCCCCCTCAGGCTGGATTTTTGGGGGATTCAGCTGGAAAGTCCTCAAGGAGGAAGCAGGGCCTGAGCCAGGAGCTGGAAGTGGTTTTCCTGAGGGATGACTGCACTGGAGAACCCCCATTCCCACATTCCCAAACTGCCAGGACAGGATCCCTCACAGCACAAACCCAGGGCTGACAGAGACCAAATTCCCAGAGATTCAGCCCCAAAGGAACGTGGCTTCCCAGAGCCACTGAGCATTCCAGCTCCTTCCTCTCCCACAGATGGACTGCCAGCAGATCCCACTGGGAATTCTGCTCCCAGGAGAATCCCTACAACCCTTTTCCTGCCTCCTGTGAGCAGCAGGGCAGGGAAAAGAGGCTCCTCAGGGTCAGGTTTCCAGCAGAATTCTTCCAACTTTTCAGGGAGTGATTAAAATCCCTTTGTTTGGAGAAAGGAAATGCTGGGAATGTCCCTTGGAATACTCACCAGGACCTGCAGCCGTGGACAGTGTATGGAAAGCTGGATTAGCGTGCTGTCTGTTATCTGGAAAAGAAGGAAAAACCCTTTCAAGTCGGTGCTGGGGCACAAGGACAAACTGCAAAACTGCAGGATTTTCCCTAATCCATGAGATTTCCCCACTCAGGGATCCATCTCCTCATGGAAATCTGCCCTTGGAGAACTGGGATGCAGAGGCATCACTGGATTTTAAATTCCTGCAATCAGCTCCCCAGCGTGTCCCAGATGTGCCTCTGGAAGGACAAGGAGAGCTCAGATTCCCTCGCAACTCCCTATGGATTCGTGTTCCTGCTTTTCTGCAGGAAGAAGGAATCCCACACAAAGGTTCCCAATCCCAAATTCCCGGGGGAGCTGCCTGGGGTGGATCTGTGCCCTGGCTCAGCTTCGCTTCTTCCTTTTTGGGGTTAATTCCCAATCCCCTCCTGCCTGGGCTGATCCTTCTTCATCTCCCCAATTTCTGCCCAGGAAATTCAGGATCCAGCTGTTCCCAGGAACCACAATCCCATTCCCTTCGTCTCAGCCTCAATTTCCAATCTACACTGGGGCTTGGAGGTTTTTCTCCAAGGAATTTTGAGTCAATTCCACCCTTTTCCCTGTAAATCTTTCAGGACAGTTTGGTTTCAATCCCCCTAAATCATTGCTGTTCCACAATTTTCCCCATGGTTTTCCAAACCAGGGGAAAATCCCATTATTTTTAGCAAGATGAGGTTTTTCTCTGGGATTTTCCCTGAAAAATCTGGGATTTTCTCTCACAAATCCATTATTTGACCCAGCAGCTCCCACTATTAAATATTTATTATTTATAAGAATATATAAAAATATTTTATATAATATATAAGATATATAAATATATAAAATTATATATAATTTATATAAAAACTATATACAATAAATATATATTAAATATATTTTATATATTTGTATTATTTAATATATTATTATTATATTTATATATAATATAAATAATAATATAAATGTATATAATTATAAATATATATAAAAATATACATTTAATATTAAATATTTTTTATTTACAGCACCCTTCCCATGGAATCCAAACCAATGATCAAAAATGATGATTCCCAACATTTTCCTCTCCAAATCCAGCCACTCTTCCCACTCAGGATTCCACATTATGTTTTGATTTGGAGGAAAATCTCCTCATTTTCCACCAATTTTCCAAACTGCTGCAAGAGAAACAGCCTGAGCTGGGATTTCCTACCTGGACACACTCCTCCAGATCCATTTTTTCAAGCTCATGGCAATTCTAGGAATAAAGAGAATTCCAAACATCCACAGTGAGTGTAAAGTTAAGAAAGCAAATATAAATATTAAAAAAAAAAATAAAATTTTATAAATAAAGATAATTAATTTATATTTTAAATATAAACAGTATATTAAATATGTTAAAAGTATAAATATAAATAGAGAATATAAACATACAAACATATAAAAATAAATGTACAAATAAATATAAGTATAAATATAAATAAAGGTATAAGTATAGGTATAAATATAGGTATAAATATAAGTATAAATATAGGTATAAGTATAAATATAAATGTAAATATAAATATAAACATGAATATAGGTATAAAGAGAAATTTAAATAGAAATATAGGTATAAATAAAAATAGAAATATAGGTATAAATATAAATAGAAATATAGGTGTAAATATAAATAATATAAATATAAGTATTAAAATAGAAATATAATTAGTAAAATTATAAATATAATTATTAAAAATATAAATATAATTGTAAATATAAATATAATTATTATAAATATAAATATAAATATAAATATAAATATAAATATAAATTATAAATATAAATATAAATATAAATATAAATATAAATATAAATACCACCACAAAGACAATTTGCTTTTAAATTTCACTCATTTTTCAATCATGCGGAGTAAAGGGAGTTAAATTTAGGGTCACTTATAGACAAACAGCAAAGTTTATAACTAAAATTTTTAACATTTCCTGTGGTTTGGATACAAATCCTCCCAGGAGTGCGAGCCAGGACGATCCCATAAAACAAATTTTTGAATTTAAGCTTCCACCCCAAGGAAGTTTTCCCAAACTCCTGAGTTTGTGGGGTTTTTTTGTCATGAGAAGGGAAAGCAGGAGGGGAAGGAGGGCTCTTACCCTGGCCAGGGTGGTGAAGCCCACGTCGGTCAGCTGGGAACACCTCGCCACTTCCAATATTCTGCAGGACACAAGAACCATGGTGGAGCCCCAGAATCCCAGGAAAAGGCTGGGAATGAGCCCCGGAGTGCAGCCCCCTGCCCAGGGAGCGTCACCCGGAGCGGGAAACACGGGAATGGCTCCAGCCAGGGAGCCGTTATCAATGGGATATCTGTATGGATCAATGGGGTATCTGTGTGGATCAATGGGATATCTGTGTGGATCAATGGGGTATCTGTGTGGATCAATGGGGTATCTGTGTGGATCAATGGGGTATCTGTGTGGATCAATGGGATATCTGTGTGGATCAATGGGATCAATGGGATATCTGTGTGGATCAATGGGATATCGGTGTGGATCAATGGGATATCGGTGTGGATCAATGGGATATCTGTGTGGATCAATGGGATATCTGTGTGGATCAATGGGATCAATGGGATATCTGTATGGATCAATGGGATATCTGTATGGATCAATGGGATCAATGGGATATCTGTATGGATCCATGGCATATCTGTATGGATCAATGGGATATCTGTATGGATCAATGGGATATCTGTATGGATCAATGGGATATCTGTGTGGATCCATGGGATATCTGTGTGGATCAATGGGATCAATGGGATATCTGTATGGATCAATGGGGTATCTGTATGGATCAATGGGATATCTGTGTGGATCAATGGGATATCTGTGTGGATCAATGGGATATCTGTATGGATCAATGGGGTATCTGTGTGGATCAATGGGATATCTGTGTGGATCAATGGGATATCTGTGTGGATCAATGGGATATCTGTATGGATCAATGGGGTATCTGTGTGGATCAATGGGATATCTGTGTGGATCAATGGGATCAATGGGATATCTGTGTGGATCAATGGGATATCTGTGTGGATCAATGGGATATCTGTATGGATCAATGGGATATCTGTATGGATCCATGGGATATCTGTGTGGATCAATGGGATATCTGTACAGATCAATGGGATCAATGGGATATCTGTGTGGATCAATGGGATATCTGTATGGATTGATGGGATATCAGTGTGGATCAATGGGATATCTGTATGGATCAATGGGATATCGGTGTGGATCAATGGGATATCTGTATGGATCAATGGGGCAGTTTTATGGATTGATGTGATCTCCTCCCACACAGGTTTTTCTATGGATATTTGAGATATTCCTAAAGATATCTGAGACATTCCCATAGATATCTGAGATTTTCCTATGGATATCTGAGATTTTCCTATGGATATCTGAGATATCCCTATGGATATCTGAGATATTCCTAAAGATATCTGAGATATCCCTATGGATATCTGAGATATTCCCATGGATTGATGGGATCCTCTCTCAGATGGGGTATTTCCATGGATATCTGAGACATTCCCATGGATTGACGGATCCCCTCCATCCCTCTCCTCCCCACCCACAGAGCTGCTCTCCAGAGGCTCAGCCTGACCTGTTCCCTTATTCCCAAGGGTTTATCTTCCAAGGGTTTCCCAGAAAAGCTTCCAGCAACCCCTAAAAGTTTGCTGAGGATAATTTACACGGAGCAGCCACTTCCATTCCAGAGGGCCGCAGAAAAATGGGAATTAGGCTGAAACAAACACCCAGATTCATCCCAGGAAGGGATAATCCACCCAATGCTGGAATGAGGT